TCATTTTCCAGGGCTTTTATCATTTTTGTTGCTCTCTTCTGAACTGATTTAAACTTATCTATGATTCTTTTTCAACTGAGGAACAAATACTAAACACAGTTATCCAATTGAGGCCTAACGTGTGATTGTAGAACAAAATAATTACCTCTCATTTTATCCATGTTCTTCCTATTAGTATACCCCAAAGCAGTGTCTAGGATTTTATGTGGCACCATCATACTGTTGACTTATTGTCAATTTATCTTCCATTACGGCTTCTATCTCCATCCCTGTGGAACAATTGTTTGTGCAGTTTATATTTGTTTTCTTTGAATCCTATTTTATTGATTTCAGTCCCACATTCTATTTATCAAGATGGTTATTTGCAATTCTAACCTCTAATTTGCCTCTAACGGTACATGATCCCCAAGTTCTCAACTGTGTAAATGATTAGCATGCTTTCTGTTTTATCTCACCAAATCTCTGAGTACACAGCTGAATGTGAAGTTTGTTTGTTTTTTTTTTTTCAGTACCAAAAAACGTTGTGATAGTATTTAAAATGTCTCCCCTTACTGCTTATACTGCTAACCTCAAAAGCTGTGATCTTGGGTGCCTGTGATATTACTGAGACCGTCTGCCATTATATTAATCCTTAAACAATACTCCTGAGGTCTGATTAACCCAATTGTACAGAAGAAAGATACTCTAAGGGCCGTAGATATCCAGTAATTTTCTCGGCATGTAACTAGGAAGGAGAGGAACTGAAACTTGAACTTGGTCTGTTTGATCTTACAACCAAGTATTTTCCTGTACACCTGTAAATAATTCAGTCCAATTCACACCCAACAGTTTGTTATATTCATAAGTTCCTTACTTATTCTGCTATTACTGGACAGGATTTTATGAAAACCGTGACAGTGTTTCACTCCAGGGATCTTCTTTTAGAAGGATGTTATGGGTGTTATGAATGATGAGACCATTGTTCCTGGGCACGGAGATGATTCCAGAGACAAAATCACTCTTTACTATGTGAAAGCCATGGTATCTGAAAGTCTACCAAATGGAGTTGATCATAGATTGTTCCCATCCCTTTTTTCTAAATTAAAAAAGAATCCCAACATACGCAATATAAAAATTAACCTGACTTCTGTTTGTTTCCTTATATCAAAGTAATTGAATCCAAACACTATCCATCCAAATCACTGGCCTAAGTCAGTGGTTGCTAAACGAGGTGCTAAGACTCAGCTGAGGATTTCAAAAGTTCCTAAAGGATGCCGCAGATTTTAGGACACTAGAATTTTAAAAATCACAATGCTTGTTTAACTAAGACTTTATGAGCTGACTATATGACCTGCCAACATGCTCACTTAACTGGTGAATGTTCAATTTAACTGCTTCAGGAAATGCATAACAATAGGCCTGTTTTGCAAAATGGGCTTCTTCATAAGGTTAATATTTGTATTAGTCCATTTTCACACTGCTGATAAAGACATACCTGAGACTGGGTAATTTCTAAAGAAAAAGAGGTTTCATGGACTCAGTTCCACGTGGCTGGGGAGGCCTTACAATCATGGCAAAAGGCACGTCTTTACATAGTTGCAGGCAAGAGAGAATGAGGGCCAAGCAAAAAGGGAAATTTATTTTCCAGCCATCAGACGTCTTGAGACTTACTGACTACCAAGAGAACATTATAGGGGAAACCTCTCCATAATTTAATTATCTCTCACCAGGTTCCTCCCACAATATGTGGAAATTATGGGAGCTACAATTCAGAATGAGATTTGAGTGGAGAAACAGCCAAACCATATCAATATTAATATGCCTATTTCTTAATGTAAAACAAATTATAAGGGACAAGAACAAATAATGGATGATGCTAATAAAGTTTTATTAATATTGGAAAGTTTAGGTAATTTAAATTAATTATCAAGAATACATGGGTTTGGTGTTCTAGGTTAGTTGCCTAGTAATGAGTTTCCTTTGGTATCTGCAAGTATTTTATCCTTTCCATAAATGCATTCAGATGTGTCAACCAGTTTGTTTTTGAATAGACAGAGGAGAAAATTATCTACTAAACGTAACTACTTTCTGGCAGATCGATTTAGAAGACACTAAGTTCTGAGTTCAGATTCTGTTAAAAATATACAATAGTTGGTGGTGAACTATAAAGACACTGAGTTTAAGATCACTGATAAGGTGTTTGAGAAATAGAAGAAGGCTGAAGAGTAAAATCATATATCCTGCAGATGTTGGCTGGTATGTTGGCTGGATACTGTGTGGGAAGAGAAATTCTCTGCTCGGACTTGGGCTACATCCCTTGATGGCCTAGAAGCAGGGTCTGGGCGTATCCTTTGTGTCTGAGAAGGTGCTACTACTCAAAGACTTGGGAGTACTTTACCCATAAATGAAAGGATAACAAAGTAACAATAGAGGGGAAGTAATGTTTCTCTTATTTATTTTCTGAATACCTCCCCACCTATTTCTTTCTTGTTGTGTGAGGTTTATTCTCTATTAAATAACTTCTTTAAAAACTCAAAGCAGGTATTGTAAACTTCATAGTATTAATAATATTAATTTATATTAAAACATCCTAACATAGGTTTCTAATAGGTAAACTAATATTCTTTCTGGCTTAAAATAGTTTCTCATTTACTAATGTTTCATCACACTGAGATTTTATTTTATTTTTCTGTTTGCATAACCTCTTTCTTAGTTTTATCTTTCCTTCATACCTTTCTTCTACATCAGATTTTTCATCTTAGTCTGTCAGGATTTTGTTTGTTTGTTTGCAGTATATGCAATAGAACATATTAGACAACTGTCAGGGATTAGAACCTGCTACCCCAAATTATGATACTTTGGCATACTGACTGTTTTAAACTGAAGTAGATCGGAAGACCTCAGAAGTGAGGACTTTCTGATCTTCTCCAGGCCTGTCTCCCACCTCTCTCTCTCCTTGGAAATGAAACATAGAAATCAGTTATTTCTTTTCTCCAAGGCAGGTTACAGAAGCTAGAACTCCTCTTCCCCAAAGCATAGCAGAAATCCTAGAAAGGTCATTCTCTCCCTTCTTTCTTGAAGACCCTCATTCCAGCGGGGTAGTACGTCACACCCAGAAGAAAGAATTGTGACAGAGAAGCCAGAGAGAATATGACCAGACAAGCCTAGCTGGGTTCCCCCTCTTAGTGTATTACCCTTAGATACAATCCAGTCATAGAATCCAAGCATAAATGTAGAGTTTTCCCTGGAATTTTGGGTCTTCATTTCTGAAGGCTCTAGTGCTACATAAAATTTTGATTAATAAATTAATTGTGCTTTTCTCTTGTTAACTTGTGTTCAGTTTATGGGAGTGTTGGATGTGGAACATTAACCCACTTAATGATGGGTGAGAAAAAGTATCACACCTTTCTGCCCCTGCAAGACCAAAGTTGTTAAAAATATTTTTTTAATCTTAAAAAAGGAATAGAGAAATACAGGAAATATTTATTGTAAATACCAAAAATGGTTCCTTTGGCACTATGCATGTAACAGAGTGCCAGAATCTGACCAGAGAGAAGCGATTGTTAAGAGAAGGAAGAAGGAATCATCAGAATTGGGTTAAGTGAAAAACAATAACTTAAAGAAAAGTGAATCAAGAACTAAAACCCCTAAGCTACTTCATTTTGAGTCTCATGGAGGAAAACAAAAACAAAAATTAATATTTAAAGTTAAAATGAAAATTTCCAAAATACATTGTTTGGGATGTTTGTAGCACTAAGCTTATTTCCAACTACAAACTTATTTATCATGTAATTCTATTCAATGACAAATTGGTGCTACTATTTTATTTGGTTTCACTGAGATTTTTCAAGTGTGTTTAGAATAGAAAGTATATTCTGTCTCTTACGTGTGATGACAAAACATTAACTGATGATTTTTACTCTGTTGACAAGACAATCTACTTCATGGATTTATAAATTGCTCCAAGGCAAAGATAATCGTGTAATTTTCTTATCACAGCCAATGTTAATAATTTATTATTAACATTATTTTTAATTTGAATACAAGTGGAAGGCATCCAAGAGAAGGGAATATTGTACAGTACTCAGAAAAAGATCCTAACCTCATAAAAAGTGAAAAATCACTATTACCTTCTGGGAGTTTTTTTTTTGTTTTTTTTTGAGCTAAAGAAAAAACAGATTCAACAGAGCATTTGCTAGCTAATATTCAGCTCCTTTGTTTTTCATTTAAATTAAAGATTTATTTTCTATCTGGTAACTTTTAAGAAAAATTAACCGGCACTATGTTGATGAAATGTGTTTCAGTAATCATCTGCTCTCTGAAACAGTGAAACATTTTCATTAGTAGGTGATTTATTTTGGTGATAGCAACTTTATTCTATATTTGAAACTAACTGGATATTCCACTTATGTCTTGACATGTGTAACTAATTACATCAAAGTATGCCATGCAAGAAAATTAATGCAAATTTCATTATTAGGAATGAGTACTTATTTAAAGATCATACCTGGCCACCTTATAACTCCAAAAGTTTGGGAGGTACACAAGATCAAATTGATATCTTTTTTTAAATAAAGGAATGCCAACAGATAAAAACAGATCAAGCAGGCACCAGAGTATCATCAAAATGCCACTTAGCAAAAATCTAATTTCATTGGGAATATTCAATATTATACAAATCTTCAAATAAAAAGATAACTGCTAAGCATACAGTGACTTATGAAAGCATTTGTTATAGGATTCAATCTAAACAGATCTTATCATATCTATATGTGATAGATGTACTAATATTCATAAGAGCCAACTACTGTAAATTATACCGGATATTATAATACTGTTACACAGAAATAGTTATTGAATAATATTCTTTTTTTTTTAAATTCTGGGGAACATGTGTAGAAAGTGCAGGTTTGTTACACAGGTATACATGTGCCATGGTGGTTTGCTGTATCCATCACCCCTTTATCTACATTAGATATTTCTCCTAATGCTATCCCTCCCCTAAACCCCCACCCCCAACAGGTCCCAGTGTGTGATGTTCCCCTCCCTGTGCCCATGTGCTCTCTGCATAATATTCTTTAAAATGGAAGTTTGTACTAGTTGCAATTAACTCTCACCACTAGAAATGCATATTTATATTAAAATATCCCCGAAACACACACACACAAACCTTAATATATACATAAATAAATCTTCTTCGAAATTTGAATCATTTTAGTTAGCCTTCCTTTTGAGAATATTTCATTTTGGGGCCAGAGAAGTGAAGTTCATCCTTAATATTCACCTAACTGCTACTGAAGTGATTCTCATTTAGACAGTAGCGCTCTCAGCACAAAGGCCTAACTTCTTTTAAAGTTCTGTCCTAGATCTCCTTCCCTGAATAACATAAATAATTTTGAGTATTTATTGAATTGAATCTAACAAATATCTGGAATCATAGCATCTTCCATTTATAATAAGAAGGTTAATTTTGTCAAATGAAAAACATGATTTTTTGGCAAACAATCATGTATGCTAAAACAGCAATAAAATATTGTATTTTGACATTTATTTCAACATATACCAGCTGTTTTTCATGAGGCACATACAGACGTCCTCAAAAATCGCCAAACAAATTCAGGTTTGTAAATAAAAAATAGTTTTTCTTATGAAAAGCATTTGTAATTCTCAAGGAAAGATAAAATTACTCTAGTCTTTGACAACTTGGTTCATTGTCGTTGGTAGCCTATGGTTAGTTCGTACTTATTACAGTCTCTTCATATTGGATATCAAGAACAGATACTCTTATTCAGGAGGAATTATCTAGTACAAATGGCCAACTGTGTATCTTTACTTATCAACACAAATCACTGGCAAGGCATAGCAAAGCATGAATATCCCAGTAAATAGTTATTTATGTTTCTGGAAATAATCAAAACCAGGCAAGGAACACCTGCATTTGTAGACTTAAATGGGAATTTGCTTCCTTATCAGGTGTAGTGATAAAAAAGTCCTGTTGCTTTGTGGATGTCTTGAATTCTGTTTAGGTCTGGAATTTGATAGTGGGCACATTACACTTCTATAATCATTTCCTACATCCAGCTATGCCTTTCTGCGAAATAAACCACAAAATTGGGCACTTTTCTGAAGACAGTAATAGTAGCTGAGTTTTCTACAAAATCAGAACATATTTAGTTTTTTTCAGTGAAAAGCATAAGAGATATAAGGCTTTCTCTGAAAATAAAGTGTTCCCCCAGAAGAAGAAATAGCTATCTTGTGCACACAAAATAGAATTCTGTGCACCTTCCTCGGAACATAGATGAGACTACTTTAAAGATGATGGCCCAATGGAACTAAGCAGTTGGTAGGCAAGGACCAAATTTATTTAACTGTCACAAACATTGGCATAGAGAGAGCACACTACTGTGTATTAAATCTATAAAACAGGTAGCAAAGAAATCAGGTCTATCAGCAAATGTTCACTCTTTGTAGAATAATATCATATGAGCACCTCGGTGGACTTGAGGTGTTTGAGGTCTGGGAAGCTTCCTTAATCTTCCTCCTGAAATCTACATCCAACATGCAGCAGCAAATCACAGGTAACCCTGAAATCTGGCAACTAGTCTCTGAATGACCTGCTAATACCTTAGTCTAAGCTACTGTCACCTCTTGCCTATAACAGTCTTATTTTTGATTTCCTTATGTCTACTGGGCTCAATCGAATTCATTTTGTCCCCCAAATCAGAAGATATTTTAAATCACAAACCAAGTGATTACTCCTTCATCCTATCACCACCAAACCCTTAAACCATTCAATGCCTTTCCATTTCTCTTATGAGAAAGACTGAAATCTTTGGCAGAGCCTTGAAGGTATTTTACAGTCTGTCATCTCTGCCTCTCTTCATTCTTATCTTAACCCACATACCCTCTGGCTCTCGGGATGGCAAGAATGCCAGTACGAAAGTAATGTCCGTTTTCCCTGCTTAGAATGCTCCCTACACACCTCCTTTCCCTAGCCAAGTCTTGTTCATTAGCCTTTGAATTGATCATTCATTTCCTTAGGGAAATCTTTCCCAACCTCTACATTATGTACTGTGCTACCAATTCTTACAGTACCACATTCCCCTCTTTTTGAAAGCACTTAACTCCATTTGAAATAATTAATTCATTAGTATGACTATTTAATTAATGTCTGCTTTCCTCTTGGACTACACTTTTCATGATGGAAGGGATGTGGCTCTTTCTGCTCACTACTCTGTCTCTGGGACAAGGCAGAAAGTCTGTCACATAGCACTAGCTCCTGAAATATATATAGTTGTTGGATGAATGGAAAAATTAATGAATGAGCTCTGAATCTCCTTTACGGAAGTGAGGATGAACAGTGAACGAACTATACACAGATTCTTGCCTATCTTTTTTGGCCTGCACCAGTATTTTAAGTAGTTTGCTAGGGTTACCTATTCAATTTGAATACATTAATTTTATGAGATAAATAAAAGTGTCTCTTATTAATCTAAACTGAGTATACCAAAACTCTGATTTTTTACTCTATCACCTTTTAGAAGTTCAGCTGGTCCAACCAACTAACCTCATTTACTATCGCCAGTATCTACTATCTTGATAAAGATGCAGATATTTCTAATGCACATCCTATCACCTGCTGGTGATATAATAATTTTTGTGTTTATATATCTCTTCTAATTCCAAAATCCCTTTATATTTATTGTGTCTTTTATCTGAAAATACCCAGTGTGGTAGATGTGTATGGGTATTATCCCCATTTTACTGCTGGAGAAAAGGGAAAACATTTTGGAGGGCAGCTTGTCATATGATGCATTGTTTGTTTGTTTTTGTGGGATTTTTGTTTGTTTCTCTCATCCAACAGTGAACGCAAAACGGTTGTTGTACAATACAATATTTGCCTAGGATGCCATCAACTAGATATAGGAATTTGAACAAGTTGAAGACTTAAGGCAGTAGGAAGCAGAGCTATCTGCCCTCCTTTGTAGCTTAGGAAAATAACCAAGGAGCTGACTTCCTGTTAAATGAAAGAAAGCCAAGCTGCAGCAATGTGAGTCAAAGTTCCGAGCTAGGGGGTCCCAGGAAATAGAGGCCAGTATTGGGCAAATATAATATGTGGACATCAATTCTTGATTCTAACTGTTTAAAGTTCATTCTGCCATATTACTAAGCTCTTTTTAAAGGAAGAGTCTTTATCAGTAGAAATATTAGCCATGTCTTTATTTATTTTTTGTGTGTCTTAATATTTTGGTCTATTTTGCAAGATGGGTTTTTCCTACACCTCTTAGAGAGAAGCACAGGTGGGAAATGGATCAGAGTTCCTGCCCTACTAATAGGGCTGTTTTTAAGAATTAGTTTCCACATCCATTGCATTTTCTTTGACCCTTTTCTAATTAATTAATTCACATTTCCCAAATTCAATATTTCATGTTATTGGCAGGCATTTATGTTTCTAAGGACATTTTTAGATAAAAAACATATTCGCTATGTCCAAAAGGTAATAAAATAATTGCATATGACTATAAAACTTGTCTATTACAAATCAACATAGCCAATATAAATTTCTGCAAATTGAATATCCTACATATCCTCATAGCTGGTTACTAAATTTACACTGGTGGAAAATTTGGCACAATACACAGTATGACCTTAATAACAACTCATCAAAGCTGTTGTTAGTAAAAACCATCTCTTGGCTTCTGGTGTCATATTTTTCTTTTAAGAAAAGATCTGGGAAAAAGACAAGAAATAGAACTCAGATGTTTGTCTGCTAAACATATCTGATAAAATACAAAAATATTCCTAACTGCATGTTTTTCAAAACAAATTATTAAATATTCCTGCATCCTGGGTCCTTTTATTTTACATACATCTGTGATTATTAAGTAAATCTTACACATGGTAAAAGCAATACTGACAGTTTATATCAAAATACAGTCTTTCGTTCAAGCTGTGCTTCTACTATGACAATATTTCACAAGAAATTAACCAACCAGTAAATCCAATCACATTCCTTTGGGAAACTGTTCAAAACAGAGATTATATAATACACTTGCCTATAATAAATTAAGAGAATTTTCTGTAATAATCAACCTAAAAATGTAAAAGTAGCCATGAGAGTCCTAACTCCATAATTATTTCTACATTAAAAAACAGAATTCATATATTCTTTAAAGATTTTTGTAATTAAACAATAATATTAAATAACATATCCTTTCCCAAGTTAAATTAGATGACTAAATTAACTTTTGTGAATTAAGATGTATTTGGTAGAATCCAGCTTCATAAATTTGTATGCAGAAAAATATGTAACTTGTTCAAATTCAATTATATGAATACACTAACAAAAAATGACACTTCCTTGTCAACTATCAAGTAATATGTATTTTCTATCAAGCAAAGTCATTGTTTTTAAGGAATGGAAGAACAGGCTGATTTATATTTTTTCCAACATGTTTGCTTCTCTCTTCCTTTCCTTCTGTCTCTCATCCATGTGTGTATCATATATACACGTATGTATATGTCTACGTACATATGACTGTGCATCCTATATACATCTATGTATGTGTTTTACATATATTACATCCTTCCATATATATGTGTGTGTGTATACATCTAGCCACAGTGGTATTTCTCTTTCTTTAGTTATTACATTTTATGTCATAGTGTATAATTAAAATAGCAAATGGAGCTCCATGTAGGGAAGATGGCAACTTTCAGAAGCCCAGAAGAAAACTGAACACATAGTGTTAATTTTAAAATAAGAACAGTGCTTATGTAGAGCCAACATAAATAAACCATGTTGTAGAAGCCTCTGATTTAATTTTGCACAAACCAGGCTCATCTGAACAAAATGCCTATGGTATTAAATATGTAGAAGCATTTTTTCAATTTTATTTTATTAAAAGTGATATTCCAGTTTCCTGCCACATGAAAAGTGAGTAAGTTATCTGTTATGATTGGCCTTTCACTTCCTGAGTCTCTGATTCCTTCAGGTTAGAACAGGGTTGGAAGTTACTGTGTCATTGTGCTAAAAATCTTTAAAGTATTAATACGCACCAGAAGTGACTACCTTACAATCTCTGTAGGAAGGGGTGCAGAGTATTATTTTTGTATTGTTCAAAACACTTACATTGTATAGTAATGCTAGTCAACCCAAAAGCCATATAGAAGAAACCACAGGTTTCTATGGAATGATTTGATCTGCGAGAAGAGTAAAGAGAACGGAAGGAAGGTCCAACATGACTGTACTACTTCCTGCTTTTGTTTCTGTGCTATGGACAGAAAGCTCATGAAATATGACCATGCAGCATGTGGAAAGAGATACATGAGAGGTGAATGCAGCAGGTCAAAGTAAAATCACAAGACACATTTTATGGTTTGATGTTTAAAAAAGAAATGTGTGATACTTTAATTAAACAACGTTACGAATAAACCTTTCATTGTGAATATGAGTCTAAAATTCTGCAATGACACAGTGAAAATATAAAGAAATCATTATGAAAAATTTACACTTTATATCCATAAGAGTTGTCTATTAAAAAAATTTTACAATGCCTTGCTTTTATTTTGTTCTTTACGCAAAGGGTTCAGTAAAATTGCCAAGACATCAATGAAAAAAATTTAAAAATTGTCATCTTTTGAACTGATGCTTGAAGTTCTGAGATTTGTTGTAACGCATACCTCATCTCTTAAGGTCTACTTCTTTTAGTGTTAAATGTATTCATCTCAGCCCTTTAGTTTTAACTTATAGTCTGACTGTCTAAATTCATGAAGCTCTGAAATAAGAATTTGACGTTTTCCCATCACTGCTTACTCTATAACCTCAAACCAAAGGACATTTGTCCTGAGGCTTTGGGTTACATCTCAAGTTAATTACAAGTAGGTCACACATGAACATTCACGATAGTAACGTGTAAAAATTCCTATTTATAACCAACAACATCAAAGCAACATTGATGTCAGAGCCCGAGTACAATACCATAATAGTACCAATCCTTAGTAGAAAGATACAATGGAGAAGTACCCCTTCTGACATATATATATATAGTCTCTAGAAATTTTCTTTTTGGAATGAGATTAAAATACATTTTGAAAGCTCAAAAACAAACAAACCACCACCAACAACATCAAAAACTGAGCCATTAATAAGAAACTGGAGATCCAGCATTTCCTCTCATCCTTTTGTCTGGCCATCAGCTTTTGGGTTCTCATTAATGGAAGTTTTCTTTGAGTTGTTTCTCTGGGTCCAACTCAATGATCTCATATTCCTTTTAAAATGAGACATTCCGTCAAAAGCTCATTGCTGGGTTAGACATTGTTTTTCTAACTGCAGAGAGAACAAGAATAAGGGGAACTGATTCTAAAATCTTAAGCAATCGTTTCACTCAGAAATTCTAGGCCAGCCGGATGTAGTGGCCGACGACTGTAGTCCCAGCTACCTGGGAAGCTGAGGCAGGAGAATCACTTGAACCCGGGAGGCGGATGTTGCAGTAAGCCGAGGTCGCTCTACTGCACTCCATCCTGGGCGAGAGTGAGACGTCTCGTTAGCGGAGAGCTGTGGCTCCACTTGGTTGTGGAGAGGTTTCCCAAAGCCACAGGGCGTCACGATAACTCAATGCGGGGTGAATAATTCACCAGCAGAGGTGTTTCCCTGACCCTTGAGCTTCCTGCCTGGAATCCAGAGCTGCGTGGGTCGTGAGCTGAACCAGGCCAGGTGGAGCCCGAGCACTCAGGCCTGGGTTTCTGAACCAGCGGCCGCTTTAGCCAGCCTGGGGCTGCCTTTAGAGTCCCTGCGGCTTCCATCTGCCCTCCCCAGGTTTGTGCGCCCCCGCTGGAAATCCTGCATTGGGTATTCAAGACTGGCCGTTTATGCTCAAACCGAAACAGCTAACGGCTGGCCCAGGCGCGCGCCCCGCAACTGCTAGCCCAGAAGGGAGCGCGCATGCCTGCCCTTCTGAATTTTTGTCCACTTCCATTAAAGCCTCAACAATATCAGCCTATTAGAAAAGGCTGGCTTGCAAGTCACTTGGCCAGCTGATTTCTGAACATGGGGTAGTCCTGGTTGTTCAGTGTCTATGACGCCTCACAGAAGAGACTGGCAGGAAGTCCTTTGCTTGACTTATTTACTTGATGTTACCTTCTCGAAGAGGTCTACACCCCAGTTACCAGGTGTAGGTTCCCCCCACCCCCCCCAAAAAAAGGAAAAAATGTCAAAGAAGCAAGATGAGGATCTGTGGGTGGGATGGCGTGTCAGGTGATCAGAGCTCAGTCTTCACATGTAGCTGCCTTCTGAGCCACGGAAGGGGATGAAATCCAAGTTGCAGTCTCCTCCCCTCGAATCACCTTCCCCCACTGACTGAGATTATATCTGCATGCTTTCAGGAGAGGCTTCGTGGGAGGCAGGATCTGGGTAAGGGTTGTACAGCAGGGAATGGCTACGGCATTGTAGAACCCACGCTGGCCTTGTGGGACTTCATCCTTCTTGTCTCTGTCCATCAGAGGAACAGGCTGTCTTCACGATTTCTCCATTTCATCACCCTGAGCCCAGAATTCTGCATATGTATCATTTCCCGTCAATTTTGTAGCAGGCCACAGTTTTGTCACAGAACAAAGATCACAGGCAGTCATCATCAAACCAATTACACGGTCTCTATGTGATTGATTATTAAGGTTTAGCGATCCAGTCTGGTAGGGCTCCTCCAACTGTTTCCTGTTTCCAAAGTATAAAGCAAGGTCTGTGGCAATGATGGTTTTGTGGATGATCTCAAGCATCCGCTCATATTCACTGGAGCTCAAGGTGGAGAAGATATTGTGCCCTTCCAATTGGAGGATGGACACCGTCTGGGAGAAGTGGTGCTGCTCCATGTTGGAGGTGTAGAGAGCTGCCAGAGGGTGGTCTAACTTCTGCAGGTAGCTGTTACTAAAGCCCCTGTGGTCCAGGTCATGGCACAGACACGCAATCAACAGTCCTTTGCGCTCAAGGTCTGAAGTATGGTGTACATGCTCTGCGCCACAGTGACTGCATGCTTCTAGTTGTGATAGGGAACTCGCCAGTAGTTCTTCTTCACAGACATAATAAAACGACACAACCTTTCAAGCTCAACCAGGACCGATGAACCATACAGACAAAAATTCCAGGCCACATGTTTTGAAAAGGACCAATGTCAACGTGGAATAATTCAGTTTCTTTGCAGAGATGCACGGGAAGGGTGAATCGCATGAGGCCTTGCCACTCTTCTGCAGTACAAATGCTATGGTAGGACAGCTTTTCCATTGTTACCTGGTAAATGCACTCTGAGTGACGAATTCTATGATACATATTACACGGTGTTACGCTAAAGCACAAAAGACGACAAACATTTTTAAGTTGTTTTCATCTGTTATAGAGAAGGCACTGCCACTTATTTTACTGACCATTTGCACAATACCTATCACACTTCCTCGGCTGACGATGGGCATGCACAGGATGTTCCGCGTGGTGTAGCCTGTGTACAAGTCTACTACTCTATGTTACAGTGTGGGTCTGCATAGGCATCTCAAATGTTCAGGACTTCCCCTGTTCTTGCTACTTGACCAGTAATTCCTTTCTCTATTGAAAATCTGGGAGCACTAGAAAGTTTTTCCAACATGATTTCCAAAAGGACTGCCTCTGGAAGACGGCATTTCCAGGAGTGATGCTAAAGCTTCCTAGGCGCTGCTTCGCTGGCACTGACTGCGATGTCATTCCCAGAAGTTCTACCTTCAGGAGGCGGGTCCCGGTGGGAATGATATCACAGTATGACAAGTATTGTCAGCATATGTTATCTCTCTGGTCTTCCTGAAGACAGGTATTCCTTCCTTTTCCTCTCCAGTATCAAAAAGGTCTGAATATAACTCCTTGTTCTTATGGTCTACCTGGAAAAGTGCACAATGATCGGCATTCACCAGGTTTTTTGCATATATCATTATGTGTTCAAGTAGAGAATCTATTGCAACTATGTTATCAAAATACATTTTTGATACATCGAGTAGAAAGTCATTCAATTCAGTCTGTTTGGCAAGGCCTCTGCATACCTGCACCTGATACTGCACCTGATACTGAAGCCCAGGCAAGATTTGCTGTTGCAACCTCTTGGTGACTAAGACAGGCAAAGAACAGACTGGATGTGAGTCCCTGATTCCAGTCCAATACCTCGTGGAAGACATCCCCAGGGATGTCTTCTACTAGCAGTGTTTTCCTGGACTTGACCACATAAGCAGAGATGATGGTGCCCTGGGTGATGGGCCCAGCAGGGATGAGGCGGGGTTTTCCTTCCTTTATCCCAGGTGGTGTGAATATGCACAGGCTATTATTGCACTCTCCAAGGAAATACAGTGCAAATCCATCAGCGTTCGTGGCTATTTTTATGATGCTGCTCAGTTCATAGAGGAGTAGCTGGTTGTCTCCTCCTGCATCCAGCCATTGTTCTATGTAGCTGTTTAGTTCATATACAACTCCCTGCAGATTCGTATCTTGGTACCTGCTGACTTCCTTAGGAGCCGATTCATCTTCTGATTTGTTGTTCTTCCTCTTCAGCCATTTCTCTACTGTCTCTGCACTAACACTTTCAGATACAAATTCATCTAATACCTGGGGGTGAAGAGAGAGACATGCCTTCACTTTTTCATCGGTCAAGCCTTGTAAATGTTGGGATTTCCTCCTTTCTATCCTCATTCTACATGATTTCTGTATCTATACCATTAGCTTTGGTGCTCAGGAAGCACTCGGTCAGCCTTCGGAAGCAGCTCGCATTATTAGAAGGTCCGTCTTCCATGTCGGAGCCGAAAAGCCGCGCGGCCACGGCGGAGAGGGCGAAGCCGGAGCCCAGGGGACGCCGCGGAGTTTGGCCGCCGCCACATGGCGGCGGGGAAACCGGGGAGCCCGCACAGGCTGGGAGCAGCAAGCCCTGGAGCGCAGGTGAGAGGAAGAAGCCGCCGCTCCCACCGTCGCCGCGGTGACTACTGCTGCTGGGGACGCTCAAGGGAGCTGCCTCTTCTTCTTCTTCTCCTCCTCCTCCTCCTCTGCCAGCATCGCCGCCACCATGTCTTTATTGTCCTTATATTTTACTAATGTGCATCTATTTGCTATCTACTGTTGACAAAAAATGCCAAACTCTGTAAAGCATTTAAACAAGTTTATTCTGAGCCTCATCTTTGAATGATTATGGCTCATAACACAGCCTAGGGAGGTGCTGAGAACATGTGTCCAGGTGGTTGGGTTATAGCTTGGTTTTACACATTTTAAAGAGACACAAGTTACAGGCAAAGACATAAGTCAATATGTATATGTATATATTGGTTCGGTCCAGAATGGCAGAGCGCCTTGAAGCTGGGGATGGGGGAAGGGGCTTACAGGTCATAGGTGGCTTCAAAGATTTCCTGATTGGCAATTGGTTGAAAGAATTAAGCTTTGCCGAAACAGTTGAAGTCAGCATAAAGAAATGCTTGAGTTAAAATAATGGGGATTGTGAAAGCCAAGTTTCTTGTTATATAGAATAAGCCTCTAAATAAGAGGCTTCAGAGATAATAGATGGTAAATGTCTCTTATCTGAACTTAAAAGATGTCAGACCCTCTGGAAAAGACCTACTAAGGAAAGGAGACTATACGTTTCCCAAAGAAATGGCTTTGCAGGGCCATTTCAAAATATGTCAAAGAAAATATATGTTGAGGTAAAATACTTCAATTTCCTTCAGGGTCTGCTTTCTGTCATGTGATACTATACCAGAGTTAGGCTGGAGTTGAGTCTCTTATTTCTACAAATAATCTGTTTTGTCTCTTATGATCTCTATTTTAATGTTAACGATGGTCATTTGTGGCCAAACTCCAAAAGGAGGAGAATCTAGTGAGGCTTGTTCATTGCCTCCTTTCCCATCGTGGCGTGAACCAGTTTGTCAGGTTTCTTTGGGATCCTCTTGGCTTCTTAAGGGGGTTCTTTCAGTTGGTTGGGGTCTTAGAATTTTATATTTGGTTTATACTTATAATGGCTGAAATAGTAATTTCTAGAGTATATGATCAGGGTCCAGAGCATTTATTCATCTGCTCCTAGTTCTTGTTAACTCGAATTCAATGTTTCAGTTTCTTTATCTACAAAACGGGGATTTTAAGTATATTTCCAGGAATGAATTCGTGTTTTATAGTGTCTGAAGATTATGTAATTGGGGAAAGGTGTCTCTTTATTAAAAAATAAAAATTAAAAGAAAGCATACATGCAAAATGGCCATAGGCATACAACTCAGAAACAGCTCAGAAACCTCCCTTCCTGGGGTTTGGAAGAAGGCAGTACAAGCAAGGACTTGGCAGCTTAAGCTTCAAAAGCTTCACTTCTGCTTTCTTCTTCATTTTGTTGTTGTTAATGAGAATTCAATAAAATAAACTATGTAGCACATTCTAACACACAGTAAACACTTCTAAGTATCAGTCTTCATCCTCATTATTACTTTTACTATAACATATAAATGCCTAAAGAGTAAATAATTTCTATTTTCAATGCACAAAATTTTAATTTTATTCTTTTGAGGCTATCTGCTACAGAACTAAAGTTATTAGTGAAAGAGTGATGCATGTTAAGGAATTAGCTTCCTTGTTCATTTGTTTACAAAACCAAGTATATCAAGCAGCTACTATGCTCCAGGCAAGGAGTAGGGAGGGGAGGGACATACAAATGAAAAATGCAAAACAGATTTACAAATGCATAATAACAAATGTGTCTGAGTGCGATGAAGTTAATAAGAGGATGCTAGTATAGAGAGTAACGGGGAGAGACACTAATGGGCCCAGATGGGGAGCAACATTAATTGGCTCAGATAGTAAAGGGAGACCTGGCTGGAGAAGATAATCATTAAGTGGGAATTTGAATATTATAAAAGATCTGGTAATATCTGACCACTGCACAGACAAAATCAGTTCACTGAGACTGTGGTACTATGGTAAAGAAAGAATTTCATTAAAGTGAGGCTTGCTATGCATGAGAACTGGAGTCATCACTCAAATCAGTCTCCCCAAAGGCTGATAACTTAGGGTTTCTCAAGGATACTTAGATGAGCAGGGGTCTGGGGAATGGGTACTGCTGATTGGTTGGGGATGCAATCATAGGTGTGTGGAAAATGGCCCTCATACACTGAGTCTTTCTCTGGTTGAGGGGCCCTAGGGCCAGTTGATTCATGAGTCAGGAGTCCTGCTGGCATCAGTGGTTGCCAGAATATAAAAGCCTAAAAAAAAAATTTCAAAAGGCCAATCTTAGGTTCCACAATAGTGATGTTATCTGTGGGAGCAGTTGGGGAAGTCATAAATTTGTGACCTTTGTGGCCACTTGACTCCAAAGCAGCATTATGCCTACATCTTAGCAGAATTCTGGTCTTTCCAATTATTCTAATCTCATGGCCTTTCGGTAGTTTTCAGTCCCTGAGCAAGGAGGGTTTTCGTTTTAGGCAGGAACTATTATTATCTTTGCTTTCAAGTTACACTGTAAATGAAATTCCTCCCATGGTTAGCTTAGCTTATGCCTAGAAAGGAGGAAAGCCAGCCAGCCTGTAAGGATGGAAGCAATATGGAGTCTGTTGTGTTTGATTTATCTCACTTTTGTTATTTTCGCAAATTCAGTTTCAATCCCATGAAGAGAAGCTGGGAATAGCATTTCAGACAGAACAACAGTCCTGTGTGAAGGCTCTACTAAAAAAAAAAAAACCATGACACATTCTAGGAATCTAGGCACCACAAATAGCTGGCATGTTACAAGAATGATGTGAGAGCAAGTGGCTAAATTGATCGTAAATGAATCAGTGAGATAAATTCCTAAAGGAATAAATAACAGATTTTGATAGAGTCGAGCACCTAAAGCTGGGATTTGCTGCCGGAGAAACATCTTCCTCTATATTACTAGGTGCTCTTAGCATAGACCTGTCTTACTTTACCTTTTCTGCTGGTTTATGGAAGGAAGCTTGCAAAAGTTCTGGGCCTACTGTGCTAATCTCTCTCTGTCTTAAACAGGCATATAAAAATCACATATATTAAGTAATGCCTAAATAGCACTACGTAAGTGTAAAATACTGGTTGCTTTAAAAGAATGTTTTAAAAATAAACCATATTTTCAACATTGAGTTAAGGGCAGAAAAATGTATTAAAGTTCCAAAACTATAGAATGAATAAACTGAAATATTCTAACCTAGAAGAATAAAACTTTGGTGAATATCATTAAGAGAAGATGCACTTAGGAAGAGATGTGGGATACAAATTGCTAGTAAGAAAGGGGAGAGGAGGTATAGAATATACGCATGTTTAAAACCTCCAACATCTTTTTCCTAGCCACCGGTCTATGCAAAAGGAAGTCTTACCAAGTCTCAAAGCAGTATTCTTTGCATTTCATGCACTTCCTTTTTCAATCATTGTTTTTGAGAAAATCCTAAACCAAAGTGAAAAAGAGAATCTGCCAGTGAAGCAGCTGACAGAAAATGACCAAACCATCCCATGCTCACTCCTGAAAGTATTCATGTTGCATGTTGACTCTTTTTTTCCCTTTTATTGATTTATTTATTTGAGACAGGGTATTGCTCTATCACCAAGGCTAGAGTTTGTTGGCATGATCATAGTTCAGTGTAACCTAGAACTTCTGCGCCCAAGTGATCCTCCCTGCGTCAGCCTTCTGAGTAACTAGGGCTATAGGCTCATGCCACTGAACAATTTTTGTTGTTGTTGTTTTTTTAATATGGGGTATTCCTAGATTGTTTACGCTGGCCTCAAACTCCTGGCCTCAAGCGATTCTCCCACCTCAGCCTCAGCCTCTCAAAGTGTTGGGATTACAGGTGTGGGCCACCATGCCTGATCCCTAGGAGCTAATTTCACCTGGACGTGAAGAGTAAAGTTGCTATGTGTGTTTGTGGAGGCAGCCAGTTAATGGTAAACAACAATGACAAAAGACAACACATGCAAGGGGCACATCAGAGAATCTCATTTTAGACATCCCAATCCATGTAAACAGGACCACCATGGCAAGCAAGTGCATTATCTGTGTCCCAGTGTTATTTTGATGATCCATTAAATCGTCATGCATATTTTTGTGCCATATGAAAAATATATATCTTTCCTATTAACACTCGCATTTGATCAATCCTAAGATTTACCCAGAAGAGTCTAACTATCCACAAAATGGTCCCTGCCTTTTCCTATCATTTTTGCTTTCTTTCAGGGTTCATTCTTCCAAGTTGTTGAAGGGTCTCAGACTGCCATAGAGATTGCAACTCTCATTAATCCAGGAATCACATAAAAAGGTTCTCAATTTTTACCATTGCCTCCAGTTTGAAGCCCCAGATGCTTGATTAAGGGGAATTGCTAACCTGGCCGTATCTATCAGGCTAACGAGAAAGGGCATTGGAACTACTTCAATAATGGCATGGTCTGGTTTTAAGGATTAAGGTTACTATTTTTCTAGAAAAAAATTCTCCTCTAATTATATAATTCAAAGTGAAATTCTACTTATTTCTTCATTTAAAATGAGATCAGAGTCTATGTCTTTTCTTCATATCCCTTACTTAGATACATATTTTAGTTCTTCAGTAGGTACTGAGTTAAACTACATGCATTCCTATCTATTATCATTCCTAGGATGAGAACACCAGTGAAATGGATACTTATATCTCTGCATGAGCTGTTTTGACCATGAAAACATGGCCACCTACACAAACCATTTGGTTCTTAATGAGCCATAACATCTGTACTGGGTAAATGAACACAAAAGCAGTGGTTCAGGAAAAGCATTTCAAACAGTTGTGTTTGTATTGCCTAAAAGCCTCACAGGGCCTGTAGAGCTTATTATGAATATGTCGTAGGTCTTATCATAGAATGAGGCTTAGTTATTTTACGTATTTTTTTAGTGCAAGTTTGAACAACAAATGGCATCTTCACAAGTCACAAAAGCATTTCAGGTCCTAACATTTTTACATATTTCGGTTTGACGGCTGTACAGTAATGTCTTATGGTAAATTAGTAAGGTACAGATTTTAATAGATATTTCACATTATCTTTTCTGAAAATTTTAAATTCATAAACA